GTTTTGATCCGAAGGCGTTGCGCTTCCCCAAGGAGCACGACCTAAGACCATGTTTACAAGGATAACACCCAACGACCAGATGTCCGAGTAAAGCGGCGAGTAATGTGGGCTCCCTGTCTCGAAATTACATTCTGAAAAGTAAAAATCAGATAAAATGACCCCCTGCGAATGCTGACCATACCAGGACTGAAGTAATCCCAACTGCCTACGTTGAATTCCCGACTGACAAGCTTTGTGGTCGACAGACCAAAATCTGCAATACGTATGCCCAATCCGGGCTCGACACAGAGAACGTTCTCTGGTTTCAAATCGCGGTGATATACGCCAGCGGAGTGACAGGCATGTACGCCATCGAGAAGCTCGATGAATACTTTCTTAATGAGCGAGACATTGCCCTCGTACGTTCGCAACTGGATGGCCGTAAAGAGGTCACCACCAGGGCAGTAATCGAGTACGAAATAGATGTATAGTCCTTCCTCGATAATTTGGTGAAGTTTGCATATCTGTGGTGATGAGGACCTGGATGCCAACCAGTGGCATGTGATCTCCCGTTTCCTCCATACGAGACCATCTGGGGAGAGTTCCATGTGTGGCAAGCACTTGATGGCATAGTATGCAGGATCACATGGGTTTGACTGAGTATCGAGAGCGCGATAAACATTTCCGGAGGCACCAAAGCCAATCAACTCGACCAACTTGAAACGACGGTCGCCTACTGACTGACCCGATAAGTCTGGGATTGGGAGCGCTTCAAGTTCCTTTTGATAGTTCATAATTGCTGATCAAGTCGTTTCAGAAGGAAGCAGTTTCAAACGAGACGAGTTGGGTTTGAGGGGTAACAGTACTTGGTTGATAAGTTGGTATCAGGCTGGATGAGTTTAGGGGAAAACAGTATGAGCCTGGTCTCATTCGGAAGTCATTCGGATGACTCATCATGTACTATCGAGTCATGTGATGTTCTCAGATGAGGTCATCTCGAGTTTAAAAAACGTTTGAACCACGCACTACAGGATTTAATGGATCCGTTGCTCAACCCTCGAACGAGAATAATACAGCATAACCTCTTACAGCTACTACCAGACGAGTCTACATCGAGCCTACTGTAGCCTGCAGGAGGATGTCGGAGGCTCTAGCTCCCAATAACGACGAAGTTGATGGATGGTCATGTGAGATTGGCAGGAAGAATCTTTTTCACGCTCGGATTGTGTGACATTGCAACTTGGAAACCCGCCGATGTAGCCAGGAGGAAGAGAAGCAAAGGTGTGCGTTGTAAAGAGATGATGACGTTTCCAGTGTAAAGCAGAGCAGCTGGAATAAGCACGAACGTAGCTTGGATGAACGAACTCGCTGAGCGTCTTCACAATCACAGCCTGCAAATGCGACAACGGTAATCAGCAATGGCACAACACCAGCTACCGCCGTTTTCTGTCCCCAACTCGCATGTCTCGAGCTTGGCCGCTCAGGAAACACAAGAAGAGGGACGATGCAAGGCTGGTGAGACATCCATATTATCAATTGCAATCAAACCTTAGCCCACTTCAAGCGAGTAGCTTGAAAAAAGTGTTACAAAGACGGCACTGACACGCGGCCTTTATCAATGAGTGTCCTTGTGTTACAAAGCAGATCGATGCTGTGCGATACACAAGAGTTTCTGATTTAGTTTGAGGCACGTGTCTGGTATGTAGGCGCCAGCTGGACCACTCACCTTCAACAACAGGTATAAGCTGTATCTGGTTTACATACCATGCAACTACGGAAGATTCTTTTCGCTTATACCAACGCTCTGAAATCTTATTACTGTCCTTCCCAGACCCGAATCACTGCAAATCATCAGCCTACTACTTACGCTCCATATAGGATCCTTTATCATCCGAGAGTCAGGCGACTCAAGAAGAGATAACGATTGCACGAGCAGACAGGAATATCTACCAAGTGAACCTTGACAAGAGACCTAAATCAGCTGAGATCAGCAGGTCATGACTCGGACGTCCGTCGGGGAGGACCTTCCATTTATTATAACTCACGTCTTAGCTTACAATGTCCTATCAGCTTTGCAAGCTCACATACGTCGCTCCTCGTCTGCCTTTCTTCACAACTTCTGTACATCGTGAATCTGCCTCCAGCGTTTTAGCATGTCAAAACAAATCCGTCTCGGCATTCTCACACCTTCCTCAAATACCGCGTTGGAACCTCTCACTTACCAGATCGTTTCCTCCATTTCAAATGTTTCCGTTCACTTCTCCCGTTTCCCAGTCACGGCGATCAATCTCTCAGCCGAAGGTCTTGCCCAGTTCGACCACTCAGCCATCACGCAAGCTGCTAAACTACTCGCCCATGCCGAAGTTGATATGATTGGCTGGAGCGGAACAGCAGCAGGATGGATGGGATTTGAGGATGACGAAAAACTCTGCAAAGCTATCACTGAAGCTACGGGTATCCCCGCCACTACCTCCGTATTGGCTTTGAACAAGGCTTTGCATATTTTCAAGGTCAAGAAGCTTGGGCTAGTCACGCCTTACCTAGATGACGTCCAGCAGAGGATTGTGAAGAACTACAACGCCATCGGAATGGATGTCACATCGGAAACGGAACGTCACCTGCGCGTTGCGAAGAACACCGACGTTGCTCTGATCGGAGAGGACGTATTGGAGACTTTGGTAGGGCAGGTGGTAGAAGGGGGTGCAGATGCTGTTTCGACGTTCTGCACAAATCTGATAGCAGCGCATAAGGTTGAGTTTTGGGAGGCAAAGTATGGGGTTCCAGTGCTTGATACTGTCACTACGGTCACCTGGGATATGTTGAGGCAGTGTGGGGTAGATACGAAAGCGATCAAAGGGTGGGGAAGAATATTCCAGGAGTCATGATCGAATCAATAAACATCAAAGTAGCTAGTTTGATGCATTGAAGGCGATACGAACGACAATTCTATGATACCGACTCATTAAACCATTGTCATTGTTGTTAGACGATATCCCTGTTGTACAACGGCCATGACACTGAAAAAGGGTCTGAACGTGAAGACCAACAATCGAGTGTAGCATGCTAGGCGCCCTTAAATATCGCAGGGAAACATCGTAGGTGTTTGTGGAAGCCAAATGATTCACTCACTGTTTAACAGTTGAAGACACCTCGACTCTTTCTCCTCATCTGCCGCGTGAAGCGCGATAGCATGGAACGATATTTCCCTCACGATATGATATGAGGCCTAGAGTGTGGCGAGGCAAACATTGGTGGATCATAGTCACCCCTCCTTTCACCGATATGGGCGGAGGAAGATACTTTGCCTAGGACAGCGTGCTGGATGCGGATTGTATCGGTCAGCCTAGTTGGACGATTGCAAAAATCAGGGTTCTCGGTACCTGGGCTAGCTGATAATTGATTGAAATGAAGTGCCGGGACCACTACTGAATTTGCTAAAAAGCGTGTTGCCAAGGGTTGAAGGGCGTGGATCAAGGATAATTTCCAGAGGGACAGAGCATCTCGATAGCCTCATCAAGGTCTAAAAGACTGCCCTCGCTGCTGGAGTTTTTGGAAAAAATACTTCGGGAAAGTTACTAAGAGAAATGAATCAACTGGGGTGACCAGGGAGGATGCATATTGATACAGCTCGATGTAGGCCAATTACCTCACCGAGGTCAGGTAAACCCCTCGCTACCGGAACTTGCCAATAAGGTTGTTGAAAAAGTGGTGGAGATAATCAAATCAATCGAGGTGACCAGGAAGATCCCCGAACACTGGAATAGAGCGACGTCTGACGTGAATTCTTTGATGGTATTGATAATAGATCGCAATTGTCCCATCTTACTATTGAAAGTCTCACTGATAAGTGCAAAACCAATTGATATTGAAACAAATACGCACGGCACGTAGAAATCCGAGTACTGAAATACCAGAGGACTGCGATGAAACTCTGGTTGTTTTGAGAAATGTGGAAATCAGCGTGACATATACAAACGAGCAAGGGATGGGGAAGAAAACAAGATCCTACGTACTTTGTCATTTAGGATACACTGATTTCTGCTCTGGCAATGAATTCCTTGCCTGTCAACAAAAGCATGTCAAGTTCAGCTGAGGCTGTAGCCTACATCGAGGGTATCTAATGATGCCTTGGGGTTGTTACCACCCTGCTATGGTAAAGTCCGTGTCAGAACGCGAAGAAGGCGATCAAAGGTGGCTGTGAGATGCGCGAGGCAGTATACTCAAAACCTAGAGGCATGAATGATGATTGAGCAACATAAAACAAGGCCTTCCAAAAATGGCGACAACTCACAGTTTGATCATTGCAGAAATATTAATGTAGTAACCGTGTTTCTATATATATTACGCTTGACGTACGACATCCAATATGCACTCGTAGGGCCATTCATTCCCTATTCATAAGAAATGTAGCACCCTGTGATCGCATTAGTTCCACCGATGTTGTAACTACTGGCCGATAATGATACTGTAATCGCGAAAAGAGGAGAACTGAAGTCTACAGAAAGGGTGAGAATTATCGAAAAAGCACTTTGTGCATGTGGACTTACACAGATGCTGACGAGACAGACGTTCATGAAGTAACCTGAAATATCTAGGATCGTGTGTTAGCTGCGGTTCCCAAACAATGTTGCTATCGAGGTACCAATGAAAGCGCCTTATTGATCTTATTCAGGATGACAAAATTCACGAACAGGGCTGCTGGTACTTACCAAATGGCGGAGAGTCCGGCATACTCGCCCGGATCTGTGGAAGTGCAAAAAGCACTGCAAGCCTATCAGTGGCGCATCTATCAATCTTCTGCGGCTCGCACACCTGTTGTCGAGGTCAAGATAAGGCTGTCATTGACGTTCGCACGGCACAGCACTAGGACTGTCATCCATAAAATGGTGACAGAGAGAGTCCCTATGGTCCGATGAGAACCAGCCGGACCAAACAAGCTAAGTAGTAATGCTCACAGTTTATGACAACCAGGAGGAGGGCGAACGCCTTGACCATTTTTTGTCGCTCGACGGTTAGGGCCAGGGCATAAAACATCTCGTTCCCTGCTGTAGTCGGGTAAAACGCACTAGAACCGATCCAATTTATCATACTTCCGTATCCAATTACGCCAGATATCGGCAGTGATTGATTGCTGTCAGTATCAATGGCTAACAGCGATACATATGCAGAGTGCCTGCAGTGAGTCAATGATACTGATAAGGAAGAATGAAGTGATGTCCTCACTGATCAAATGGGTAGTAAAGAGTCGATACTTGCTTCTGTAACGTATACGGAAGAAATGGATCCATGGACAGAACCGTATCATATTCTTTTGCTGGTAATTGTCTCGAAGATGCTCGAATCAATGTGTGGTATTGACATAGATTAAAGCTCACCTTCTTCCGGGTATGTATGTCACTGGTGGAGGATTTTGTACCACTGACGAATCAAACGTGCCTATTGGGGCTGTTAAGTTCCAATTTACACTGGTATTTCTAATGACCAATGTGAGTTCAGATTCAAAAGGCAAAAGTTCGCTTACACGTTTAGATACAGGGCGACATTATTGACGAATTGATTTTGAATACAAGCGTTGTTTGATGAGCCTGTATACTGATGTCCACAGGCGCCAACAAGAGACCAGTGAACCTGAAAACTCTTAGATAAGGATGTACGAATGCCAAGATGATACACACAGAAAATGTCTGCCCATCAAGGTCGATTGAGAACATGTCGGCGAGGCTAAAATATGTCAGATTGACTATAATAACAAGAACAGGATAATCACAATACAAGCTGTGTTAGTAGTTAGCGTGAGTCTCGATATTATGGTTATAGGGCTTACACCAGGGGATCCACTGACACCGAAGATATTCAACGTGCTATTATCCATGTTTACTTGGGTTTTGAAGTTTGCGTTCAAATAGACCTCTGTGAGAAAGATAGAGATCCCTGCGAGTATGGCAAATATGATCGACAATGTCGCCACCGGCCCATAACGTATCATAATTGGGTTTCGTCCTATCATACGTTGTAGGTGAAGTTATAGTGGCATCACCGTCCTCGAGGTTGGAAAAGTTAACCAATGAGGTGTTCAACTGGCAACTCACTTTTAAGGGATATCACCTATATTCAGAATGTGACAGACAGATGAGATGGGGGAAGTATGTAATCCTTGGCCACTAATATAATGCCTGATCGTATACCCACCGGAACAGCTTTCGAATCATTCTCACGAAGAACTCCAAATCGTTCAATTCTGATTCAGGTGTTATTTTCTGAGTCTTGTGAAAGTGTACGACGATCCTCACAGACAGAATTTTCATCCGCAAATCTTCAGTAAAGGATGCGAATTCAGAGTTCAAAGAGTGTTTTGAGATCGAAGCCTGAGCCTCTTGAACGTGCATTGCACCAGTGGGTGACGATCTTGATGTGAGTATGTAGTAAGTATAATCCAATACAACCGAGGTAAACTCACCTGTACTGTGCGGTCCAACATAATGATACCACAGTGCCGCAACAGGACAGACTGATTATGTGGAAGCGAGACTGACCAAGGTTGTCATTGCTCGCCCACCGCGGGGTAGTCCTTGTGATCGCCTAATCGATGACGGTGATAAGTACTCAACGGAGGCATGTGTTCAACCTCGGAGTATGGCGATCAGTAAACCACGACCACCAAATACATTCAATTCCTCTCATCGCTGCCGTGCACCTGGTAGATGGATTCTCGTATAAACAGCGGCTGATCTTGACTCTTGAGCTTCTGCGTGCCATTGTACTTAGACGCGATCGGGTCTGAGCAAGTTGAAATGAATTTGAAGTAAAGAATGGACCGAATGACCGTTTGAATACGGGCACGAAGTTATTCCCGCTACCTTGACTCGACAGGCTCACTGGCACCTCCAAGCAGCTCGTCGTTGTTTTTCATGCCTGTTCACTGTCTGGATCTATTTCCATAGACGTTTGGAGCCTTTAAAAGCACAATCCTACTTATACATCGATTTTAATACATTTGATGCATCAATAGTATGTCATGTTAATCTACAATCAATCAACCACAGTGAAAACATACCCTTGGCAGCGGCTCAACTATTCAGATCGCTGCGAGTCCACAACAGATCGAAGGAACAACGGCAGCGCCGCAGGATGCTAGTTGCAGATAGATGCAGAGAGAAGCTAGCAAGAAAGGCGTTTGCTTCAATGAAGACATGACAGTTCAGTTGTTATTGCCCGGCAGGGAGCGGGGGACAGCTTGAGGGCTACATGAAAAACAGCGGGAATCAAAGGGACGGACAGAGTTGATGTTGATGAGCGGGTAGAGTTGGGGTGGAACATGCACATGAAGGAGGTCACTTGCTGGGCTCAATGAGGAGTTAGGTTTAAACGCCGCTGAGAATGCCATTGGCTGCCCTCGTATGGCTACAAGGTAACATGGTCTGCGCCAGCCAAACTGAGGACGCCTGGTTTATGGGATTACCGGCGTTTGAGGACGGGGTTTGGACCGGCGATCAGTCCGGCGATCATCCATTGCAAACCAGACGCTTACCACTGGAAACTCCGCATGAAAGTAGATACTCGGTAGACGGGAGTCTTCGTACATACAATATTGACGATGGACTCACTGTCTGCCCTCGCGGCGATCTTGCGCAATAGTATGCTGTCTCACATGTCAATCCATCAGCTGATTTCTTTCATTGAACTGTCCTCTAACCTGAAACACAGCATTGAACTTTACCAGCCACTGAAGGAGACATCAGACGATACATCAAGTCCTCTTGTTTTACCAGAATCCATCGCTCTTTTCCTATCGCGTGCAACGAAAATTCCACTGGAGCTCATTGGGGAGTGCTGGTATGCCTTGAGAGATATTGTTTGGACCACAGGACCAGATAGACAGTGCCAGGATTGCGCAGCAGAGGCTTTTAGAGTCCATGGGTGGGACCTTGGCATCAGTGCATCATTGCTGCTGTCCGAGTTGTGTTGCACTTGCATACATTTCTGATATTATTGCAGTGTCTCTTGCCCTGTACCCACCCTCGAAGTACTATACAAACTCTGATTGCCCGAAGACTGCTATGCTGAAGCGGGCAGAGCCCAGACAAATCATAATTCATACACTTGATCAAGGCACTCTACCTGCATGGGCCGTTCACTTGAGCTGCGAGAGTAAGTCGATTCTTTAATCTCTGAGTCTGATTCAAGTCGTTGTGCTAACTCTTGTCAATTAAGAATGTCATCGCCACTATCATTACAACTATGTTGTGCATAGTAGCGCTCAGCATCGCACATATTATCCAGGTGTCCCAGACTACCTTCAAGTGGCGGAACATCAGTTTGTCGACATCCGTCTTGTGAAGCTCTGGACCAATCAGCATTTGTTAGGCTCGTAAGTGATTGTGGCATGTGTGTGATTGCGAGGCTTACACTTCTGTTTATCAAGGTGTTCTGCTACGAACTGTGCCCGCATCTACATGCTTTCTCTTGCCAGCGTCTCTCGGGAAGCCTTTGATAAGATCGTGTGGCCCTTCAAGCCCCAACTCAGCACTGAAAATGTCTGGGATGCATTTGTGCTCCTTGTGCTGCTCCAGGACTATGATGAACATACAGTGTGCCTGACTGTGCCACACCAAGGCATGCAAAAGGATTGATTTAAAGCAGCAATGGAAGAGAGGAACGAGCGCATCATGCATATTGGGCAACCTGAAATTAACCATATCTGTGATGGGTGCATGCGTGTTTATGAAGTCAAACACTCAGATGGGAAGATTTCGCATGGTTAGTGACCCCCGTAATATGTGTATCATGTACTACATCAATAATCTATGCTACAGAAAAATGCCAGCCAATTGTCAGTAATGGAATTACTCTAGGCCACGCATGTTGTGGTGTCTTTTGGTGCACACAGCCTCTACAAAATAACCATGACCGCTTCTGTGCCGAACATCGTGGTTTGCATAACACATGCGCTATCACTGGGTGCGATCACCCAATCAGACATAATGATGCGAAGACATGCGACAATTGTGACCACCAGCAAATGGAGCAACTCCACTATGCAAAAGCAACTTCTGCCTTTGCATTGTCTGAGCGGCTGCTCTGCTACCGAGTGGCATATCCAGATGATGCTTTGGGCACAGAAGCTCCAGATGTGACAACTGCCGACTTGCCAGATGCAAGCGTGAGCCTGGGTCCAGTGGCGGTTGAAGAGAACATCGAGTGGTACACAGTCAAGGATGGTCAAGTGTCTTATTGGTTTGAGAAGAACCCTGGCTCTGTCAGAGTACTTGAAGAAGGGGATGAGGGACTTGGTGATATAGCTCTGGCTAGCTCAGAGCCATGCAATGTGAAGTCTGATGCAGGCAATAGAAAATTCTGTGCGCAGTTTGGACGACGGAGAACTCATAATGAGCAAACTGCTGTTCGCACATGTGGGGTCATTGTGGGACAAGTGACGCTGAATGGAGCAGAAGCTGTGTCTAATGTCCTTGTAAGAATCTCTCATCCTCCTCATTTCTCAGAACTCATGAAACTCACTGCCTCTCCAAGGACTTTATAAAGACAATCTTCTCCGTGCAGGGTGCTCATAAGCCAGAGCATTTTATTTACGACACTGCATGTGATGCCAAGCAACAAGTGGATGCCCAAGGGGACGAGTGGTGGGCCGATGTCAAGATGTGCGTCGACGTGTGGCATTTCAAGAAAAAGCACAAGACAAAGCATGACTACTGCCAACGCTACTGCAACCCGGCTGACTTCCCTGAGCTTTTGAATGCAGATGGGACGGGTTGGTGGTTCAACATGTCAGTTGCCGAGCAAATAAATGTTTGGCTTGGTAGCTATCATGCAATCTGCAGGGAGATGCTTTCCACAAAGTATAATTTCTTCTTGGACGAAATGATCCACCTTCATAATATTTTTACTGTTCAAAGCCTTCAGCTTAGGGCCTTAAACCCACGTAATGCTCTGCCTTCATGTTTAGGTCCTGCCTGCACCTGCCTGCGGTCGTGACATGTGTGTGATGAGTCTTAACGCAGCCACTGACACACTATTCCTATATGTTCTACATTCAACTTCGAGTTTGTTGGGTGAGCTCACAACTATTCCTATTTTATTTGCCATAGGGACATGTACAACTAGGTACATAAGCCAATGGCTATTTTCTTTTCCTACCTCTCTGGACCCTTCGAGCCTGTTTGAGGCACAGACATCATAAGGACCTCCAGTTGCAGCAAACAGATCAAGACGAGATGGTACATTTGAAGCAGGATCTGTGTTCGATGCTTCGACATCGCTTGGGATTTCAGGCGTCCATTGTTGAAGAATGGCACAAGATATTGCCTTTGATGACAAAGGATGGGTATTGAAGATGTTTTTCTTATTAACGCGGTTACTTTCCTTAAGCCGCTGGCTGATTGTTGAGCTTCATCAGGGACATCAAGGGGCTGACACTTTCTGGAAGATACTGAGCCTTCCATGATCTTGATAGTTGGTTCACAACATAAATTGATGAGATCCCAGTCAAGCGGAGCAGTCAATGGAGCTGGACGAGCAGGCAAAATAGGCATTGAACAAGAAGAGCTTGTGCACAATATACATTTTGAAGGGTAGTAGTAGTTGGAGGGACAGGTACAATATGTGTGAACATGCTTGAGGGAATACAAGATGGATGGGTAACATACAAATGCAAAACAGGTAACAAATGCAAGTAACATACAAAGACGAAAGACGGTTATGTAGTAAATGAACGAGAAAGTGTGTATCTTACAGTGTGAGGTCGATATCAATGTCAGATTCTTCATCATCGTGTGACTGGGTGCCTGCTGTCTTTTTCCTGAGAGGGATGGCCTTGCGCAACACATCCCAAAGGCCTGAAGGTGTGCGCCCTGCCTTATACAGCTGAGTCCTGAAGGTATCCGATGCCTCCTTCCATCTCCGACGTGCGTCATTATAAGTCAATTTCTTGAATTTTCTGTCGTAGACGATCTCAAACCTCTGACGGACTGGTAAGGACTTCAATTCATCAGAGTCCATTCTCTCAAACCCAGCAGCAATGTCTATAACATAGAGACCATTGGGCCAGGTTGCCATCGGCACTGATGGCTGCAACTCGTCAGCAAGAGGCTCACTCAGTATCTCTGGCAGAGATGAGCTCGAGGATGCTGGTGATGGGAGGCAAGGTGTCCTGAGTTGATGCGATGGTGGCAGTGGAGATACTGAACGACCCGACCAAGGGTATGGGTAACTGGGATGGAATCCAGCTGCAATTGCTGTCCTGACAGGTGAGTCATCATATACAGGACAGAAGTCACAGATGCCATATTCGTCGGTATAGCACCACGACCTCTTGTGAGGCCTGGCCTCCTCTTCAGTATCACTTTCTGCCATACTTCGGTGGCACTTCAGGGATAGTTTTGAAGGCGGCGATATGATGGTGACTTCGTCATCAGTGTCAGACTTCGCAATGATAGAGGGAGTTCGCAATGGTGGCCCATGGGTCTTGATGTGTGCTAGAGAATACTTTACAGCCTTATGTTCTTGCTTCATCTTTAGAAAAAGATGCGGTTTTGCTGCTGGGTCCTTGAGATGACCAATGGTCTCATCAATGCCTGCACATTCAAGGACACCATGATGTCGAAGGAAAAGACAGTCACCATTTTTAACATGGGACTTATAGGCCAGTCGTGTCACTGCCTTTCATAGACAAGAAGAAATATTGAAATACTCAAAGGTGGTGATGTTCTCGCCAAGCATAGATCAGAGGTCAGGACTGTCAGCTAGCGAGAAGTGCGGCTAGGTTGGAATGTCAGACTCAGGCCCATCGCTGCCTTGCAGTGACAAGATGACAGGAGGTTGACGGTCCTTGTCCCACCACATCACATCTATGGCATGCTTGATGGCCAGCTCATCAGCAGCACATTGGCGGTCTTTCTCCATCTGCTCAGTCAGCTGCCCACTGTGCTTGTAGGTACCATACCATGTCTCGTTCATATGAGTGGTCCGCTGTGGCCTTGACTGAGCTTTGGCCTTGGCCGAGCTTTTCCCTGATGGCTGGGTGACTGATTTGGGATCCTTGGAGATAGTCCGCATGGCAGGCAGCTGAGAGGATGGTGTCACGAGCGGAGAGGAGGACATAGTGGTGGAAACAGACAGCACAGGCATCAGGTCCTCAAGAGAGCGTGATCGTGCCAGCTCGAGGTCAGCATTGAAGCTGAAGTCTTCGACGGTGTATCCTCCTGTCGCAATTTCTGTTTCGTCGGGGCTGTCGGGTGAGTAAGTATAATATTTAGGAGTGGTTTATATGCTGTACAAAATGCAAAGAAAATATTTGAAGTTTAAACTAACACAGAGATGGGTACATAACTTCCAATTTCGGCAGTGTTTTGTGTGAAATCTAAAATATGAAGCATCCACAACTATTTTCCCACCAATCACACATCAATGAAAATATGAAATATAAACAGATTTTCAGCGTCTGCGTGAATATGAAGCTTAATTATCACAGTAAAATGTTGGACAAAACTTGAAGTTTAGTCCGTTACTACATGTTTGTCAATGTATCAAGTTTTGTCTAATAATCAGGCACCCTTGAAAATTTGAAGTTTATGCCAGTGACAAAATGTGATGACTAAACTTCAAGTTTGGTCCACAGACAAAATGAATCGTCCGATTATTGCCCACCCATCACCCACCCATCGCCCACTCAGATTAAGGTGGGGCGCATACACCTTGAAGAGTCAGTGGTGGCTGATATAAAGATTGTCACAACAATGTTCCATGAAGATAATTTACGAATCAGAACACATTGAGTGACACAGATATATACAAATCATTTTGACATCTATCCTAAGAATGTGCATTCTCTGTAAATGCTAAGCAGGAACTCAGAAATGTACAAGTGACAACAGAAAAGTATTCTTACTGATTGCTTTGGTAGCAAGAAAACTGCAGCATGCCACGTGAACATTCTTTCTCATTTTGTTCGTACCCGTATTGAACTTGATAGAAGTTTTCCACTGCGAGTTGGTCATTGGACCATTGACGACATTGGTAGATAAATGTCAGTCTCAGGAAACACTGTCTCAAATATTGTCGAGGTGTTTCTGGAACCAGTGTTCACATCAAGTGGACCAGAACCCCACGTTCAATCCAGATGTAGCCCAAGCCTGAGGTCTAGGCCACCAAGAGATCTTTTCTACATTTCCAGCATCTAATTATAATGTAAATGCTGCTGCCTGTGGGGGGAAGAAACTTAGTGTCATATATGTAATACATCCCACAAATAAAATCCACCACCTCCAACAACAACTCATCATCGAAGTAAGTCTGGCCATCAATGGACAACATGAGGCCGAATGGAACAGCTTCCTGTGAGATGCCATCGAGAACTGATGGGAGTGCATCAAAACCAATGCTATGTAAAGCTAACTGCCATACGAGCCCCCCATGAAGAAGTGCAGCTCTTGCATGAGGCTGATTCATAAACTCGTGACAATACTGCTTGTACATGACATAATCAGCATATACAGTGCTGAAAGTGGGGGGCTTGTAACCAAGCGAGTATGTGTGGAGTTCCATAACTGGGCGCTGTGCGCAAGGTAGAACTGCTATTGGCTGCAATGTCTTGAAAGCTATTCCTTTTTGGAGAAGATTGCGCGCGATCTCCATGATGTCATACCCCAAGTCATGGTGGAGGCACATCAAAGCTGTGGCAGTGTCGGGGACAACAAGTTTCCAGGGGACAAGACTTGGTGATGGACACAGCTGGATGACATAGAGCAGCTGCTGCTCGGACACGTGGATATAAGAAACTTGAATATTTGCATTTGAGGCCGACAGGGAGGAATCAGGTCCTAAGTCCCAGAGATCAGATGGTATGTGAGATAACTGAGAGCTGGGTAGGGTGACAAGATAACCAATGAAACATGTGATAACGTGCTTCTGTGTGTCTGCAACAGATTCAATGTCATCGCCTGAGTTGCCAATAAGTTTGCATAAGTTAATCCATGTAGTCCTCTGAATCCACTGTTCAAACATGGTTGATCTATCACGAGCTGTGTGGGTTGATGCTGTGAGCTGAAATCCGAGATGGAAATGAAGGATTGAGGTGAAATGTTCAATACCACTAGTGTAATTCAACGAAGGTGCAACCTCATGATGACCAAAGTAGTTCTCGATATCCTGTATGAAACTGGAAAGTGGGGGAGGAGGCAGAGGAGGACCAGAAGGAGTGGGAACAGGCAAGAAATGATCCTCTTCCCAGTCGCCGTCGGGAATGCTGGTAGGATGCAGCACATCACATAAGTCCCACTCATTATGAAATGAGTCATAAATCCTAGTAGATCGACTATAGTTTTCCCAAGTTGTTGATATCTGGGCCTTTGTGAGGCAGATGCGCAGAAGAAAGCCGTCAAATTTGTCTTGGGGTTGCCATTCAAACACTGTGGCCATATTGGATTTTCTGGGAATACTATGGCTCATTGCTGAATGCTCGCTGCTCTGACGTGACTGCCAGCGAGCTGGAGTCTCCTTGGCTTCCTTCACCTTGTTTTCCTTGTGGTGCTGGGTAAAGAACACATTGTATTGCTCTCCTGGCTTCTGCCCACTGAGTTGTTCTGAAACAGGAAACTGAGGATCTACATGTTGCTGAGGGCCTGCTGATATGAGTATCCGGTTGACCCCACAGTCTCATGCATCTGGCCCGACTGCTGTGCCTCAATCACATTGGCAATGGCTTTTGGGGATGGGATGTAATGATGCAACTTGATGTCGACAGCAGTGTTGCCATCATAGGAGACCCAGATTGGGATCGAGAATGCTTCAAACATAGGTAATTGTGCCTCCCAAGGACAGTGGATGGAAGATATGAAAACCCCGGTGTGTGGTACATTAGTCAAAAAATCCCCTACAAATGAGTGAGATAACTCGAGAACCCATTCAGCTGGGATGGGATACATAGGGTCATCGGTTAAGAGAGATACCCAGGCATGATCGGAACCTTGATATTGGCAGCTCATGATGTGCCATGTGCATATAGCGACGATTGCTAGAAGTAGGTCAGCCACCATGCAATGTAATGAAAATGGAATAGGACATACATGAAAATGTGTTATGCGGCCTCAATGCAACTTTTTTCGCAAGTCTAGCGTCTGCATGGGATCTTTGGTACCCATAACTAGTGGGAGCATGTGCAAATAGAGTCCCCCATGGAACAAGAAGTCCTGCACCCAAATGGTCCTGGCACCAGAGCAATTTCTGCTCTAAATTGTGCCATTTTCCCCTGATGTCACGATGGAGGATATACTCGCCTTGTCTATCAACCTCTACTCGCAGCAAAAACGCAGAGTAGTTCAGGCATGCAAAAATTGGTCCATCAAAGTCAGGATTTAGAGGGACAAGAGGAAGCCATGGGCGAGCTGCATATGCCCAGCATGTGGTGAGTGGAGTATCACTATCATCGGGCAAACTGTCATGGGTGTCATGCAGGTCCCAGGCAGGCCAGTGAGGGATCGCTTCCGGAAGTGAATCTGCTGTGAGAGAGGTGTAGACCTTGTCATCATGACAAAAGACTTTAAGACTGGTAGTAGTCATCAGAAAGGGTAGTTGGATCTGTAGAATAGCAGAGTAGACCGAAGCACTACCATAACAGTACAAACTGTTGTGCTAGGTTAGTCAAGGATTGCACTGACATGTAGAATGAGAAACAACTTTCAACATAACAGTACAAATGGTTGTGTTAGGTTGAAAGGAGTAAGCAGCAGGCCAGATACACAAGACTTATGACTTTGGTGGGCAATGACATACACAATAGTCACAAACAACTTATGTAATATTTTTGTTCCAGCATCCATATTCAAACCTTCATCATGATGGTTCCACACATTCTCGAGCTCGACAGTACATACCATCGAGCTCATTGTTTTCAATATGATCCTCTTCGAGCACAATGGTACATACCATTGTGCTCTTGACCACTGGAATTTCGACCACCACCTCCTCACGACCTTAACATCGGATGCCACACTCATCTACAATGTCTCCCAATGGAGCCCATCACCTCTTTCTTTGGTTTCCTGCTCGGCGATCCTCTAGATCACATGGGTGTGGCAATAATGCATAACTTTGGTATGCAGCCCAGTCCGCAAAAGCCAGTGTCTAATGTCTTCAATCCAGCTGTTCACTTCTTAACCATGTATGGAGCAGCAGCTCATCATCACACATATTAACTGACTCGCCTTCCATTTTTTAGATCATGTGGATCATGCCATCCCATTAACCCCTCCACCATACATACAGTGGAGGGGCAGCGACTATCCATGCCCTCTACGCATGTCAGTCAACTTCTGTGATACATTGCCATACCTATACCACATATCCTACACTACCACCACATATCCTACACTACCACCACTTTAATCCATCTAAATGTCTCATTCGACATTTCCAACCTCTGAACTTCCCATTCAGTAAGATTGGAAATCCATTCGCCTCTGTATAGGCCCTTTGGTAATCCTGTCGTCGGGCTCCGTGAAGTCTCCGGATTATTGGGCACACATATCCTTTTCATCGGCTTTGAGCCCTGGGGCGAGAAAATCTCATTCTCCAACACCCTCTGATGGTCAATAATATTCAGTTCTTTCTCTACCCCACAACACCATGGCATATTCTTGACCCGGAGTACCATTTCCACATCGTTCTCCACATCGCTTTCTTCTGAGCTCATCCTGTCATCTCCGAGCATTTCAATTAGCTGTTGAAGCCACTACCAAGTTAGGAGATCCTCATCGACTTCATCCTTCTTCAGCTCGATGATGTGATGGAGAACTTTTGTTCTTTGCACATATTTCTTTGAAGACATTAGTATCTGAACAACCTTGAGATTGTGGACATACATTTCACTGACGGGTTGCTTGCCGAACCGATTTGAGAGTTTTGTCTCTTTTTGTGATCAACCTCTCCTCCACCTCTTCACCAGTTTCTATTATCCCCTTCGCGGTGACTTTTGCCCACCCTTCTCTCCATACTGTCTGCAACCACTTGTAGCAATCCTTGAGTATTTCTTTGATGTAACCATCTGACCTTCGGATCAGCCAATCATCTTTCTTACCCCTCTCCTTCAAATCTTTGAGGAGCATATTGAGAATTCTTGCATTCCAGGGTGTTTTAGATCCATTTGTGAGATCAAAGGTGAGTTTGTGGTGGTTAGGGCCAGGACCGTTTCCATACTCGTATGAGTTCACAACATCACGAGAGGCTGTCTTGTGGCCTAAAAAGTCTGCATCTTGAGATATGTTTAGTTTCTCCTGGAGGAGATGCTGAACTTCATCCTGCTCCACGCTCAGTAGAATTCTTTGTGTCGAAGTTCTAGCTCACCAGAATGAAGTTTCTTTCATGGCTCAGCTCTGCAGACCTTTCTCTCCTAACTTCGTCATCCTGCATTTTTTTGCTTCTCCTTCTAGGACTCCATTTCATGGCTTTTGGGAGATCCTTGTCGATGAAGATGTGTTTGAGTGCTGCCTCTATGCCTCTTGAGACTGAATTCTCCATCACAGACATAGAAGCATTGCCTGGTTGCAGTGGCTCTGGCTCGGCCGTATGCAATTGTTCTCAACACAGTTTCTATAAGGTCTTTGTCCTTTTATAGTGTGAGTGGAAAACCAGTTCTGACCACATCCAGTACTTACATCTGCCACAGATACCAGATGTGTCCTGTGCATTGTTCCACATGCCTTCTTAATCCTTTTGATCGCGTCGAGAGATGAAGTATTGGACTGTGGTTTCTGAGGCATTTTGGCCTGCTGCTGAGTGCTCCTGGGGGTGGTGTCTGTGTCCATATCCATAGCTGCATCATCCTGTTGCCTACCACGTCTTACATACCATTGCTCCATGTTAGCGAGCTCGGCCTGTTTTTCTGCTTTTAGGTTTTCTACTTCTAGTTGCAGCCTTCGCTCTATCTCAGCGCCAATGGCTTTCTCGTGTTCTTCTAACTGCTCAATATCATTAGTAATTTGTCCTGGTCTATTGTTCGCCCTCACCCACCTCTTTTTGTCTTCTTTTGGTTAATTCTGCTTTCTGGGACCGCTGCTGATGTCAGTTTGCAAATAACCTATCAGGTTTGTAAACACACGTCTGACTGAGTAGCACAATATAATCACTTCAAGTTCATTTTCAGCATGGCTCAGTTGCTTTCCCCGCTCTCTCAAAGCTGCTTCCAAGAGCTGAGCTTGCTTGCTGATCTCATGTGCTTGATGCATGTGTTCTTCTCCTGCAAGACAGTATTGTTTATGAATGCGTTCTTCAGCTTGCTGGTGTGCCTGCCAATAATAAGCACATCAGCAGTGATGCATCCACAGAGTCTTGTGCATACCATTTCTGCAAGACGTTGTTGTTCCTGAATGTATTTCTCAGCTTGCTGGTGCACCTGCCGATGACCAGTAAATCAGCAGTGATACATTCACTGAGTCTCATGCATACCACTTCTGCATGGCATTCTTGTTCCTGGAGGCGTTCTTCAACTCGCCGGTGTGCCTACCAATGATCATCAGTGGTGATATATATTCACCAAGTCTCTCATGTGTACCATCTGTCCTTCCTCCACAATTTTATTAATCCGTTCTTCTTATTGATATAAAGTTGTACAAAGTTTTTGTGAATAGTCAACTTCGCAAAAGTGATGTTTTTCAGACACCTGGATGTGTATGAGTCCCTGAAGCTGAGTCATACTATCCAAACTTACCAGTTCATTTCTAACCCTCTTGTCGAGTCGAGTTGCACTTGCTGAAGGTCATACCACACTACCCGAAAGTCGAGCTGCACTGGTCGAAGGTTGTATTGCACTACCCAAAAGTTGTGTTCTGCTGGCCAAAGGTTGGCTGTAAGGATCAAAGGTACCAGTAGCACTCTCAAAACCATTGTCATCATTGTCAAACAATATTGTGTCATTAGATGTTTGTGTGTCTTCCAGCCCAATAGGTGGGCACTGTGTGTTATTGACATCGACATCGATACTGATAGGGTAATCCATTATTTGATTGCACCCTATCATAGTCCTAAGTCTTCTTAAATCACAGGTACATTATTGTCTCGATTCTTTTCAGTTGTCCCACCAGAACTTTTGTGTCACCCCCGGATCCGTTTCTACTCAGGTTATTGATACCATAGTAACTTTTTTATAGTCATTGTTGAACAGACCGGCATTTGTATAGTGCTTGTAGTGCTATTCAGGTTCAGGTTTGATGGTTACGTTGGAGAAAGCTGATTCCCGCTGGGCTCAGCAGAAATCGTACTACCTAGACAACAAATATTTAGGTAGATCTTAGCACGACCTAGTCTGCTATACTTGCAGAGCAAGTGCGTTCGATCCTATAGGGGTAGCTGTTTGGTATCAGTTTTGATAGTTAGTTATCAGTAATAGGAAGATAATCCAAAGCTAAGAACTACTTGTCCAAAGGGAAACTGTCGAGTCCAAAAATATCAGAGTCGGGTCGGGCGTCGGACTATGTGTCGGACTGTTGGGAATGCATTGGATGGTGAAGGAATGTGTCGGAAGTATGTCGGATTGTCAGTCAAATGAGTGTTGGATGTGTCGGAATGTTTCGGAGAAAAAGAGTGGATAGATATTTTGCAATACAATAAAGTACTACTAATATACAATAACTTCCATCCTACTACTGAGTAGGGAAAAGTAAGTAATGCAATAGGTAGGAAGTACTAGATATTAAATAGTGACTATGTAGAAATTCTGAGTGCTATAGGCGAGAGTAGTAGCGATATTTCGGGTCCGAAATCCTATGTAATAGGACATGTGGTACTGCGGACCATGAGAAAACATGTAATAACGCTGTATACAATGCTTAGCAAGTCAAAAGGAGTAAATGCGCACCTAGTGGGGATAGATGCAACTGGACAGGACATAGGGAGGACTGGTCCGATGCGCAGGAATGTCGGGTCGGGTGTCGGGTCGGGATCGGACTATCGGACTTGGGTCGGGGTAGTTGGAAGTGCATCGGACAAATACTGTTTGACATCAGTATCAAATTAGCTGGTTCCAAGCCCAGCACTGTGACCATCATTACAACATCCTTATTTCAGCCCCTTATTGTTTTCTGTTTTTGTTTTTGCTCAATTTGGTAGTCTGTTGAATGCTTCCCTGCCCTGCTTCCAGTTGACCGGTCGTAAATACTTAAGTTCAGTGTTGCTATTTGGCTTCATCCCAACTGCCATCTGAATCATGTGTAACACTCCCAAAGCCGTCCTTCCTTTCTATGACCCAGAGCCTGGTGCTCCACTGCCCTTCCCTCCAATGCTCACAGACCAAATAGAGCTTTTTGGCAAAGATTATCGTCGCCCGACTACACTGGTTGCTGATGAAATCCTAGTTCCTAAAGTTAGTATTGTTACCTCCACTACTACAAGAGCTTCATCCACACCCACCCCTGAGTTTAAACTTGCAAAGCGGCCACTCAAGCATTCTGATCATGGTTCCCCTCCATACCTGAAGAAGGTTTCTTTTATGTGTTCCCATTCTCGAACACCTATGCCCTCAGATTCAGAGGGCTCTTCAGATGTGTTTTCTGACAGCGACTCCTTGACTTCAAGCATAAATTTATCAGAAGACTCAAAAATACCTAAACCTGCCGGTGAACCTGGACGTCCAGGGCATGGATGGTATACACTTTATGAGGCTCTAGATTGGAATCCAAAGGCATTTGCAAAGTTCAAGGTTCGTAAAGTGTGCCTTCAGCATTGCCAAGTAACTCACGAATAACTAGAAATGTATGCATCACCTTATTGATGACCACCTTGACACGTCAAAATGTGCTTCTGCCCAAAGTCCTATGGTCTTACAAACTGTATGCAACAAGGTGAACAGTCTTCATCTCTCGACATTATTGATGATCTCATGGTACCTCATTAGGCTCTTGACGAATTCCCAGACCTCAAAAACTATAGCAACCTATGGCCAGTCAATAATATGATGATGACATGCCTGAAATACACATCCTCTCACACTTGACAAAAAGACGGAGAGATGGCTTTAGGCAAGAGCAAGACCAGGAGGTGACAATCAGAGGTGGGTTTAAAATCCAGTTTTGCTACTACTAAGGCATGACTGATACCCCCACAGCAGCCTTTCAATCGTGTCACTGTTTTGGCTCTCAAGACTTGCAACTATCTATAGTAGACGTAGATGTGAATACACATGTATTTGAATTCTGCATCATCACCATTCTGATACATTCATAATTACACAAGCATTGATGAAATAAAATACTGTCTTCGCGCATTTTCCCCCGAAAATGAAGACAGATGGGAGATCTGACACCATCTTCTGGATTAAGATGGGCAGTCAAATGTTGAAGGCATGCCCATACTTTCACTGATGGCTGATCTAGGTGTTGACCACTCGTGAATACTGTCATAATGGCTTGTGGAGGTTGCTTATTCCACAGGATCAAATGTTCATAGAACACTAGTATAGCGTAACAATAAATTCAAAATGACTTCATTAGGAGGTTTCGCTCCACTGTGCTAATAACAATACATTTGCAGTCCAGCTGAAAATATTATGCTGCTCTACACCTTGACACTAATCGATGGTTATTATGAGTGCTCAAAGGTTTCACAAGAGTGAGATTGCGTGGGAGCCTAGCTTGTGGACGACAGCTTATGTGTGTGAAACTAACAAATAAACAAATAGTTAATGTAGGCTAGATAAACTTGTGGAGTTCAACAACTCACTGGTGAATTATGAAGTCGGCAAATGCATTGTCTCTTCCTCGCATGTTCACAATAGATGGGTTTTTAACCCCAATCCTTGTGACTACTGCGTCACCTTGGAATTGATGATCACCACTGCTGAGGAGTGAGTTGGCTCTTAGATGAAGATGCCACTTGAATAATACACAAAATTGATAGGTGTGTCTCCCTTCGTGCATGGTGACAAAGCAGTTGTTAACATAAGGTTGCACAGTAGCTTCCTCAAAGAGGCTTTCAGGAACTGGAAAGTGCTGAGCACTGCGCGAGGAACCTAGAGCATCGTGTCAACATCATGGCCTGACAAGGTCTGTTCCATGATGTAGAATACAACCTGCACTGCAGGTGAAGCTCAGGGGTCTGATCTGAAGGTAAACAAGGGTGCAAGAAAGAGGGAGATAACTTACGGAAGATGTTGGAAGGATATATGTGCGAGTGTTCACCATACTGATAGATACAATAAGTAGGCAAGGCAATGAAAGTGGGCAATGAAAGTGGGTGACGAAGGCTATGGTAGTCCAGATTTTAAATTCAAGAGCTTGATCACCAAGACAATAACCATAATGCATTCCTAGTTTGGGAACATAGTGGCCGGCAACAGTGGGGAGCCAAACTTGAAGCATGACAATAGTATCTGTACTTTTGTTAATACTGCAGTATGGTGAGGGTAATTGTACAAACATGGTCTTAGAGCTGCAGTGTGCATTTGCAAGGCTGCAGCACAGGTTGGAGGGTAATTGTACAAACCTCCATAGGGTAAAGCTGCAGTGTTGTGTGTTGGCAAGGGCAATTGTACGAACTTCTGTAAGGATTTTAATGCTACAGCACAAGTTGGTAAAAGTGATTGCAGTGTCGCAAAGGGCAATTGTGCAGTATTGCACAGTGTTTCAAGATGATTGTTACTTGAAAACAAAGGTTCAGAAACAAAAAGACTTTGATAACAAATGAGAGGATAAATATGCCATGAGCAGGCGACTACAGTAGATCACCTTTATCTGCAACAATGCCTCTCTTTGCCACAGTTTTCAAGAAGTCGACACAGCCACAGTGTTACAAGACGCTAGCTCATTTAACCACATACAGTGGTTCCATTCATGCACTTGCCATTTCTAATGATGGGTGTATTCTTGCAGGTGGTGGTAAGTAGGCAGGGACTCAGCCACAGCTAGTGCTAAAAACAAGTAGGCACAAAGGGCATGAAGCTCTAGGATATTAATTCTTGCAAGGAACTCCCATGTCCATCTCATCATAAATCACAGGGAATGATTAGTTGTGCAGTGTGGGCCACAACGAGGCAAACCACAGCCGCAGTAGAGACCCTCTGTTACGGAACAGGCCTGGGTTATATCACATTTTTGCGACATGGTCTCATAGATGTAAGTGCCCAGCCATGTCAATTGACCTTCTGTTAACGATTACAGAACAATTTTCAGGAGATTTGCGCAAGGAGACTTGGATCAGGTTTTGAGATTACTTGCCAGTCATGTCATCCAACTTCCTCTGAAGGCAACATGTGAATTGCAGTTGGAATAAGAGACAAGGTGGTTCAAGTTCTCATGCTCAATACGAGCACACAGCTCCAGTCCATCTTTGCAGTGCAGCTTGAAAATACAGTACCCAAGTCTGTAGCATTTGCGGATAACAGAGTCATCTATGTCTTCAGGCTGTATGATGGCAAATTGTGAGTCCCACTACTGCAGAACTTTTCCCGATACTCATGATCAAATAGCATGAAACTGGAGGAAGAAGATGGTACTATAGTGGAAGAGATTAGCTGTAAATCAATGATGTAAGCTGCCACTGCTCTCAACATGCACATTACTGACATTATCCAGTAGCCACACAGCGGTGCACCAAAAGCATGGGATTTTCATTGTAGACAATGCAACTGATGGCTTTACATTGTATTGCCTCGAAGGCAAGGGGGAGCCCCTTCGAACATTCGTGACTGCTTTGCCAAGAGTGTCAGTCCCAAAGCAAGTGGTGTTTGGAGAATAAGGCAAGGTAGTTGTAGGAGGAAGTGATAATGGACTTGCATATATATTCAATAGGAAGATGGGGCAGGTACTCGAAACCCTCCATCATGCAGATGCTGGCCTGGTGCAAACAATAGCTGTAAGTATTACGATTGGGCACAAATAATGTCACTGACCGAGTTTTCAGGCACACGATCTTGATGGCCGCTGCACAATTGCCTGTGCTTTGCCGTCAGGCCGGGAGAAAACTACAATCAAGATATGGGTACATGACTATGTGGTGCAGAAGGTATCCAAGACTCCTCCACAGAACTAATGGTCTATCTCGCGAACATTGATGTTCCTGATACAAATACTGGTGCTGTTGTCAATGAGTGTGTTCCGAGTAAACTCTAAAGACATGTTTTTTGTAAGTTGACCATTTTCTGGCAGCAGTTTGACTAAGTCGCACCTCAGGACAGAGCAATTAATAAAATGCACCAGTATATGACTTCAGCAACAATGGTTAATGCAGCCGACGACATGTCAAAGCGGCCATGATCTTTGACAACTATGAGTACTTAGACATGCAGAGGGAAGGCCAAATGGAAGGACCCATGAATGACATCAGGATGCTCCACAAATTGGCAAAGAAGCTCATGGAACTAGCTGAAAAAGGAGGTGAAGAAATCAATGAAGACAGACACAAGGGCCCAGAGGTGAAAGATCGCAAGACAAATCAGCGAGTAGCAGATGTAGATAGAAAGGACGTTACTTTCATCCAAGCATAGTCTCTCGTCCTAGCATAGTACAGTTGCACCAATGCAGAAATAGATTGACCGACATGCGTAGAAGGCATGGATAGTCGCTGCCCCCTCCACTGTATGTATGGTGGAGGGGTTGACAGGATGGATGGATCCACGCAATCTAAAGGATTGTAGCTGTTGAGCCGCTGCTCCGCACATGTGGTTGAGAAGTTGATGGCTGGATTGAGGACATCAGGCACTAGCTTTTATAGGCTGAACTACACACCAAAATTATGCATATCACTGCACCTGCATGATTAAAGGATTGCCGAGCGGGAAAACAAAGAAAAAGGTGATGTGCTCCATTGGGAGGCATCACAGATGAGGTGTGACATTTGATGTAGGCTGGAAGGTTGCAAGGTGGTGGTCAAAGTCCTAGTGATCAAGAGGATGATGGTACATACCGTCAAGCTTGGAGAATGTGTAGAACGATGAACTTAAAGTGAAGCTCGACTTCGATGCTCCTGGATAAAATTATTCACAAGTTATTTGTGACTATTTGTGCGCTGTGGTCATCAAAGTCATTAAGTCTTATGTATCCTTATCCAGGTTATGGTTTCCTTATATTATTACTCATATGGGCTCAACTGTTTGTACCGTTGAGTCCATCACCCTCAATGACCTTCCTTGGCTCAACCGTTTGTACTGTTGAGCCCATAGTTCTCGATATACCACTTCCACCTTCCCGACAGCACGACCATATGTACAGTTGTGTCTGCCTTTCCCTCCTGATTTTTTGTCACTACACCCTGGCTCAACAACCTTAGTGGCCTTCTGCATCCTCCCCACAGCATGACCGTATGTACCGTCATGTCTGTCCTTGCGACTTTGCTTCGCCTTTGGAACAATCAAGGCCCTGGGTGGTTATTGATCATGGGTTTGACATCCTCTCCCTGAGGACTGCCCATAATTGGTGATCCATCTCATACCTGGTTGAGACAGCTGCCAGCTCTTCCACCACAATCCCAGCGCAGACGGATATGAGGTTATCCTTAGCTGTAGTTGGCATCATCGCCACATTCCTCATTGCCGTTGTCCTGCATGATGTGGGAATCATGCATGGACATGAATACTAGGTGACCCTCAAAAGACAAAGTCTGTTAGCTTAGTCCTCAGACTAGTCAACCCATACCTTGGTTTCAAACCATGGTTCATATTTCCAGTTTTCCCCAAGTTTCATGATCTGAATACGTTTTGACGGAAAAAGTCTAATGTGAGATGGGAATCACATTTAGACCTAGTTGATGTGAGAAGAGAAATGGAGGTTAAGGTATAGCCTTGCCTTTGGCTTATTCACTTTGGCTAGAGAAAACCATAGAGAAAAGTACAAAGCCTATAAAAAAACCTATCCAAAAAGACCGTGTTTCAATTCCTGCCAACTGTCTTATTTTTGCTACCTACTTTTCTCTAGTGTTTCTTTACTTTACTTTTTCATTAGGATGCTTTGACTCACCTGACACTTCATAAAATTGTACCCATAGGGTATGATGTCATTATGATGTCATAAGACTCCACAGATACTCCTGCAGGTATTCTGTTGAAAGATATTATGTCATCAAGCTCTAGATTATTCTACTCTACAATGACATCATTCATGATGTCATTTCCTTCTAGAATATTCTGCTTCACAATGACTCACTCTGACTCACTCATGGAAGGTTCTGGAATCTTTTGCTCCACAATGATGTCACTCTTGATGTCATTATGATGTCATTACTCCACATTCCAGAATGTTCTGCTCCACAATGATGTCATAGCTCCATCTTTCACTTGTATTTTATTCTTTTATTGGGTTTGACCCAATATTTTGATTGGTCCTCCTTATTTTTTATTGTTTGTGAACCTAGGTTACTTTCCCGCACAAAATGTATATAAGGAGAGCCCATTCTCCCCCAAAAAAATATGATCTCCCATTTGTAGCAATCTGCCTATCAGATATTTCACTTGCAAAGTTAGTCCCTTTGAAGTGAGACAAGTGCAGGGAAAAGAATTCCCTTGAGATTATAAGTTTCTTACCTTAGAAACTTATTTAGTGCTATAGACCAAGCGTTCTTGGTCATATATATTGTCTTTGAGACCCCTTTGTCTCATTGCTCTGTGCCCTTTGACTAAGCGATCTTAGTCATCTATCATATTGTTGAGACCACGTCTCACTAGTTGTCCCATAGACCAAGCGATCTTGGTCAAGTTATAGTCCCCTTTGTTCAAGCGATCTTGAACACATATCGTATATTTGAGACCATTGTCTCACAGTCAAGTGTCCATAGACCAAGCGATCTTGGTCATATTTCATATATTTGAGACCACATCTCACTAGTTCCAGTATCCAAGTCCAGAGCCTAGAAGGAGATTTCCTAGGCAAATACATTCCAGAAACCGAATTACATGTCTAGAAGCTTATTCCTAGACAAGAGATTTGAGTTTCAATAAAGAAAAGTAAAGCTCCGGCTAGGTTGATCTTAATAAAAGATTAGTTTAGCGAGCCTCCCAAGAACTCACACGTTATCTACCACGAAATAGGAAAAGTCGTAGACCGTGTTAATCGAGGACTGGCAAGCAGTCTTATCCAAAGTGTAATTGTGGTGTCATTACATTTACACGACTTTATATAAGACCCTCGGTTATTAAGACACCAGTTCAGCTATTGCAACTTTGGTTCAAGGTAAGTGTCCTTCATATCCTGTGTGATATCTGCATTGAGGGCCATCCACCCCACCTTGCGGAGGACTCGTCTTACCTTTCATTTATTATTCTCATTGGTCACTTGAATCTTTCTGCTCTTATTCTTGTACTCAAACAATTATTCCTCAGCCCTGGACAACATCTGGAACTACTGGTCCTCAGAAGTCCCTTCTCCCCTTCCACATCTTCAATCTAGCACCAGCCATTGGAAGTGAAGTCCAGCATTTTGAAGATGATAGCATCTACGTTTGTGCCCCATTTTGGCTCCCTTGTGTTCATTTCCTGGTTTGGTAGTTATTATTGAAGGTAACATTGTCATACAAAACCCGCTGTTGTTATTGACATTCTGTCGTCTTCTAGCAACTGTTGTTATTATTGTATTGTTTCGCCACTACAAATTGTTATTGTTATTGCCTCCCTAGAAAGCCTGCCCCCCTGCAGTTGGACCCTGCCACTTCATCGTCTTCCCAGAATCAAGTTCCATCACTGACAAGAGGCTGTCTCATTGTGGCTGTCTCTGCCCTTCATGCCCACATCCCGTGTAGTTTGTAAGTGGTGCACTTGCCAGGAGTGCATTGAAAATGGTGATCGTACTGAGGATGGTTCACCTAAGGGGGCGCTCATTGCAGAGCATCTCATGGCAGCTCATCTCTGTTACAATGAACATTTAACCCTACTTATTTTTCCTTTCTGTAACCATAGCACTGACTCTAGACTCATCTAGACTCGGCTATTCTCTTATCAAGCGGGCTGTCCGCACTTCCTTTCTTCTTGATTGTAACCTAACTACTATCATGTGCCGCATGGTTGTTTCACCTATTCTTGCTATCTTGATAGGTTGTACTATTTACCTATCTTGTTACCTTTCTTGACGCGGCTGTGCTGCCCTTTGTTACCTATATAAACTCCATGTACAACAGTAGTATTCTTTAACTTAATCTACTGGGTTTTCCCTTGAATCCTCTTCTATAAGGTCTCCAGCCTTATAGTCTGATATCTGATTCTAAGACAGTCACTCACTGTCTTAGCCTGAACCCTTGATAGGCAGAAGTACTAAAACCACTTGCCACTGAACCTAGATAGAAGCCGCCGTGCTCGTCTAGTGAGAACCCTTGATCCTGAACCCTCCTTGTACTAGGAGTTCAGAACAAGCTGTCAACAAGACTGGTCTATCTTTGACCATTGACAGAAGAACTATCCCAGTCGTAACAATCTCCAATGTACCCAATGTGCACAAGCCGAACATGTTGCACTCACTCATGCAGATGGCTCTACTCCTGTACATGGCCCTGGGCCAGAGCAACACAATCCTACTTCACCATCTATTCCAACTCTAGCAGATGATCTTGAGTGACTCATGTTGTCAGATCTTTCTGTCGCATGACCCAGTGGCACATGTGCTCATGTCTCTGAACATCTGGAACACTGCAACACCACACCACTAGTATCTATCCCAGCTCTTGTAGATGATCTTGAACGACTTACTTTGTCTGCCCCTTTGTTGCACGAGACACCAAAAGGTGCAAAAATCGCTGGACCAAGGGAAAATCGGCGGACTGTGAAGGACTTAAAAGTTCTCGATAATATTGAGTTGCGCATTCAACGGTGCCTTCACTTATTATTTGCTGGTAATTCCGATGATATTTGTCATGAGTTACCTTTGCTTCGCACAGCTGTGGAAAAAGTGAAATGAAAAGTGGACCTTGTAGTCGCATGGAAGAAAGCAATCATGTTGGAGATAGATGGCTTAGAAGCCCGGTTCATCAGTTGCAAGCCGTCCGCAAGGGACTTACATGCAGCAGTTGAGTTTGATACTGGTGAGTGTTGACCATTTTAATCATGGCACCGTGCTCATCAATCAATAGACATTCACTATAAATCCCCTGTGAATCACTATGATGAAATTGCACAAGTCGCACTATTCATCGGTGTGATGTGTAAAGTCATCATGGGGGTCAGTAGACGAGGCTGTTACTTCATTATGGGACTCATTTCAGTCTTGCTATTTCTCACATTCTGGAGATCAGATGGTACCCTTAGCTCTTCTCATGAAATTGTGCTGAGGCAAATTCTGATGACTTCTGAAACTATGCTCACAAAATTCCATCTCACTGGGAAAACTGTCATACATGTGGTCTGCCTCAGCTGCCATTGCACTTATGGTCCTCATTATGCAGAAGGCTCGACTATTCCTACATATCCTGAACGTTGCACGCATTGACCCACACCAGAGGCCGAATGTGGTCACCCAGTACTTGAGAATGGGTGCAATGGAGTACTCCGACCAAAGAAGACATTTGTGCACCACGATTTCAAAGACTATCTCGCTGGTCTCCTTTCCCGTTGTAAAGAGTAAATCTCCACTGGGCTCAGCAGAAATTGTACTACCTAGTCAACAATGTTTAGGTAGATCTTAGCACGACCTATGCTGCTATACTTGCAGAGCAAGTGTGTTCGATCCTAAAGGGATTACTAATTGGTATTAGTAGTAAAAATGTGTCAGTAATGCAAAGAACAGAATGTCCGATGTGCAAAACAATGTCCAAAGGTAATCCAATGATGTCCGAAGATACTTATCCGATGTCCGAAGCCAAAGTGCGATGTCTGAGATTTTGGACTTTCGGACTTCTCGATAATAGGTCAGAAACTTTATAACGAGTGTCGGGTTGTGAGTGGTATGCGCGAGTATAACAAGTGACAGAGTATGATGGTGAATGAACGGTAATATTTTGCAATGCAATTAAGAACTACTAAAATATTCTGGGTGATCCGCAGAGTCGGGAAACAGCTCCTAACTACTGGATGATGATTGCTACAGGTCACCACAGAGTATTTAAGTAAGTACGTAGAAATTTGGAATACTACAGGGGAAGATAGTAGCAATATATTTCGGGTCCGATGTCCTATGTAATAAGACACGAGGTGCTGCGGACATGTAATAATGCGGTACAAATGTCAGAAAATGTGCATGGAAATAACTACGCACCTAGTGAGGCTAGTTCAGATTGACAGGACACGGGATGGACAAGTGCGCGTGAAGTGCAATCGGCCGATGTGATGTCTGAAGGTCTGATGCGCTGGATCCGATACGGAGTGGCTCGGACATGTGCGAAAGTGTGTCGGACATGTGCGCATATGTTTCAGGTGTTGACGTGAGTATGAAAATACGTGGTTTCAAGCCCAATGCCGCAACCATCGCTACACCGTGCAGATATTGAAGCTGCGATGGATCAAGCTTGCAATTATTTGCAGGACTCCATCAACTCTCCGCATCCACCCTTGATGAAAAATGCATTCAAAGCTCAATTTCTTCGTCAGTTTTGTGGCCCAGAGCCAGGTTCGCTGTTCATTGATAGAGGAGAGGAGGGACATTATGCCTTCGCCTTACACATTGATTTCTTTAATCCGGAGGGTATGAACTTGCGTGGTGCCAGCACCTCCTCTGGAATCATTTCTATGGTGTGCTTGAATCTGCCATCAGATATCAGGTACAAGCCTGAAAACTTGTATCTCACAGGCATCATCCCAGGTCTGAAACAGCCATCACTCGAGCATCTGAATCATTATATCCGACCACTCATCAATGATATGGTAGATTCATGGGAGTGTGGTATCAAATTTTCCAAAACAGCATGCTATCCTACCGGCCGACTCACTGGCAGCGCTATTGCTCTCGCTGTTTGTGATCTTCCTGCCGCTTGCCATCTCGCTTCTTTGGCCGGAACAGGTAGCCACTTCTATTGTAGTGCATGTAATTGCTACCACAAGACTACCTATGGTAGAGTGGACTTCAAGAGTTGGAAACTTTGGGATAAAGACAGACTAAGGGAGTTTGCTGAGCAGTGGAGGGATGCTGCGATGACCTCCAAATGTGAGAGGCTATTTAGAGATCATGGTGTCCAATATTCAGAGATGTGGCATTTGCTGTACTGGGATCCTCCACACCAACTTGTCATTGATCCAATGCACTGCATATTGGAAGGTTTGGTCCAGCACCATACCCGTAACCTTCTCGGCCTGACTACAGGGACCACACCCACCTCATCAACTTCAGCCCCTCCGGCTTTTTCATGCGAACATGTTCAACGTGCCTCCGGGGACGATGACAACCAAGGAAGTGACCCAGGTCTCTGCTATACATGCACTCCTTGTTTCATAGTTGTCTTCTGATGATGACAAGCTAGAGGAAGACCTTGGCAAGCTAAAGAATTCTCTGTCCCACAAGAATGCGACATCTCTTAAGTTCGTTTGTGGTGTCTTGGGATGCATTCCCCAGAAATCTGGTAGATTGTTCAAAATTGACTATGCAAAGGCTCTTGTAGAATGGGTAAGTTCTTGATTGTGCTGTTGCCTTTTCGTGAGTTTGCTATGTTTGTTTTTAGCAGCTGCAGAAAACCTTTTGCTGCTCCCCAGAAGCAACACCGGTTTGTGTCTCCAGATGTGCTCACTCATGTTCGAGATGTCATCCAGGAGATGACTGTTCCAACTTGGTTTGGTTCAGTCCCAAGTAATTTTGGAAGTGCAGCTGCCGGGACAATCAAGGCTGATGAGTGGCGCTCACTAATCACTGTCTACATTCCCATTGCCCTTGTCAGCTTGTGGGGGGCTGGTACCTCGCATCCTTCCGATGAAGTTGGTACCCTCCTCAGAACTGTTCTTGATCACACAATGGAACTTGTTTGTGCAGTATATCTTGTGTGTGTGCCCGAACAGCGACCCCAGATAGAGCACATGCTTATCGTTCCCACATTGCACATTGTAGAGCCTTGCGTCTCCACAGGCACTTCCCTCAAATTCTCCCACACTCCCTACACACTCCAGCTCTAATCCTAAGGATACATCTTGCGCAGTAGCACTTTATATATTTTACTTTGCAGATTCCACACACAGCCACTCGCACTTTGCGCGCACCACACACCACGCATCTGCATACCCATCCATCTGTCCTCCCCATGTCCTTAGATGTCCATTGGTGCGTTTTCTCACTATATTCCCATTTTGACTAATTATTTCCATCGCTAATTCTCGGCCTAGTGCTACGTGCGCAGCTGAGACCCTATTACCTATCTTGTGTACTATATTTAGCTTACTCGGCTCGCTACATTGGACCTGTATGCCTAGCGGTGCTTAACTATCTTTACATATACTATCTCTTTACTCTATTTTCTGGGTTGATTTTCTGCCCACTTTCTATGTGTCTCTAGATACTAAGAATTTTACTCATTATTTGCAAGTGACTATCCAAAGTCGCGTGCTTCAGTTCTCAGTCTCTGTCTTAGCATCAGCCAACCTTAGTTGGGGTGTTAACACTCATCTCGCTTTGGCTTTCCTTTGTTACTCTCGCTCGGTAGTCTCTTGCCTTTGCTTGCATGCACTACCTTAGCATTGCGCACCTCGTCCTTCGCTTATCACACTCGCACATTCGCCTTTTGCACATTGCATTGTTTTCGCCTCGCGCTTCACGCATTACTTAGCCTTAGTACTTTATTAGTTGTTTGGTGTCCCTCTTTTTACAAAGAGAGGTTTCCCTTAACTCAGTTAGCTGCCCTTGGGATGACAATTTCACTTGCACCCGGGTCTATCTGTGTTTGCTTAGCTTAGCACCAACTTTCCCCACAGTTGAGATTCCTCATCTTCAGCGTTATGTTGCAAATTTGATGAAGGTACACCCCACCTTCACTCTGTGTCCAAACCACCATGCTGCCTTCCATATATATGACTACTTAGTTCTATTTGGCCCTGCCCACTCTTGGTGGTGCTTCACTTTCAAACACTTAATTGGAATACTTCAGCGTCTTCCAGTCAATCACAAGTCAGGTGGGTCATTATGGAACATCAGTTGGAGTGGCATGGACTCATTTTTTGCAAGGCGAGTTGGAAGCTACAATGCTACATTCTTTTATCAGGACTGCAAAGCTTCTCTATTGGCTCAGTTGACCAGATTGTCCACCGGCTATTCAAGAGTGCAAAGTCCTGTTTGACAGAATGTATGCTCCCAAGAGCACTACAAGCCTCGACAAAGAACTTGCTGAAGATCCTTTGGACGACAGTGTTCAGGTTCCCTCCTCTGCTTTACCTGCTGCCATACCCAAAGACTTATACATGCTTATCAAACGACGGAAGGCGATATTGCATGCAAGACTAAGATTTGATGGTATTATTTACAGCAGAGCTTCTACGCATGTTGGGAATAGTCAAGTCCTTTTTTACCCTCAGGGTGACCGGTTGTCATCTCCTGTCCCTGGCAGCATCCAACATATCTATGCTATGCCCACAGGTGAACTGGTATTTGCTGTACACAGACAGCTCTCACTGTATTGTCATGACCACACTATTGACCCTTTTGCTGTC